AACTTTTTCTAGTAAAGTTTCCTATAGGCATTTCCTATAGACATCAACGTAAACGACTCAATGAAGCCAATTTCTTATCGCCAGCGCCTCAGCATTTTTTCTAATGACTTCTTACTGTCTTTAAATAGCAACACTCGATCAAACATCACTCCTTGAAATCGTAAAAATATGTGGCATCTTCACTAATCATTCTCGTACTATTCAAGGGTCGCGTCCATCCGTTGTGGAAGAGTCATAATCAGGAAAATGAACACTTATTCAAACAAATAATATTCTAAATTTTATATACTCCGAAAGATTTGATTTTTCGGCATCAAAAACGCATCAGATCGCTGTGATGTTTACAAATATGCATCTGCCTCATTTATGAAGTTGATGAACAGAAGTTACTTGCCACATTTCAATGTGTTCATTCCAGAACGAGAAGCAAGCTACGAAGCACATGATCGATAAACCGAATGTGCTTATTAGGATTCATAAAGATGGCACTATCCTCTACAGCGTCAGAATATCACTCGTATTATCGTGTCCAATGCACTTGCAGGTTTATCTATTTCATTTCAATAGCACTCGTTTTCCATCCTACTGCTGCTGCTGCTGCTGCTGCCTATTGAGTTTGTTGTGGTCGTCGTCGTCGTTACTCGTTATATTATATAATCTAGTGCAGTAAATTGCCAATTTGTAAAATACATATTATGAGTTAGCCATTTAGCTAGGCAAATGAAGTGCGGATCGCATATCCATGCGTGTGTGTGTGTCTGGGTGTGATACATATGACGATGATGCGCAACAAATTTATTATTATTATTTGCAGTTCGATTCTGGTTTCAATTACAATTCCTAGGGACTATTGAAAGCGCAAACTTACTGGCAAATGTTTTTAATGAAATATGCTCACCAGTGTCATGGGACTTGAGCAGACAGCTGAAAAACGGATTCATTGGCTCCAACTTTGCACTGCACAAAAACCTCATAAATAGGGTGGCTGCTACCAGTGATGACGGCCACTAGAGCATCGATAGTGAACGAGCTGTTCACAAGACAGTGAATGGAAGCATTAGGAAGTCAAAAATTTCTGTGGCACTTATGAGTAGTGAGGGAGCAGTATATTTTTCGAAAATTTTTCATCGGTGACGGTCATTGATATGTAGTGAAGGAGGAAGGGGTTAGGGGTTGGGAAACATCCGAATTTTTTCGAATACTTAGATCTTAGTTGCTTCATTACATTAGTGCATAGCCCTTTTATGATCACTGGTTTGATCGACTACTGGATAATAGTTATTTGTAACTGAGGTAA